GTCAACACACTGTGAAAAATAACATACAGCTGAGTAGCAGAACACCTCTCTGTGGGATAACTGCCCAGAATATCTTGAGAGGTAAATTAATACAAGAAAGAACCAAGCACTGTGCACCCGATTAACAGTGAAAATACCTGAAATCAGCATAACAAAGTGGGGTGAGTGCACTTGTGCTCAGGATGGTTAAACAGCTGTAATTAGATCAAACAAACTAGATTGATGTATCATCCCTTTGTAGCTGTGGCCTCAGAAGGCAGGTCAGGAGCTAAGTTCAGTAAAACAGTTTTAGTGCTGCAGCTTTTATCTAACAAGGCACAGCCACACACTCAGTCCAAAGTAAATACTGCTCAGGAGAACTGCTGAATTCCAAAGAAAGAGAGTTTCTAGAGAAGGTGCTGCTCCTCAACAACAACCTTAACTTTTGTCAGTAATGAAACTCTCCTCATGAATCCAATAATAGACTCTTTGGATAAACACTGCTCAGGATTTTGGTTACAAATTCATTCAAGGCATTTGAAGGTCTTTATTGAGTTGCTTCCCATTCACTTAAAGTGTCTGCACAAAATGGGTGAATTCTAATTTGCTTTGTTCTTTCAGAACCTTTTAATTAAATTTTAAGAAAATAATGTAAAACAACACTGAATGAAATATGGTCAGAACATTTCAGAGATGAGCAAAACATAAAGTAGCAGATGGTAGGAAGAGGATATATGTGAAGAAATGTAAATAGCAGGGAACCTCACCACATCAAAGATGTGAGGCAGAACTGCAAGACCCCTGGGAGAGCTGAGGAGAAGAAGAAACCACTGAGCTGAGAGGTATCAGCCTTTCCTTGCTCAGAAATGACACAACACCAACGGGAAGCTCCAGCCTGGTAGAGGGACCCCTCGTAAGTGAGGTGAGATTGCTGTGAAGGGTCCTTAGAGTGAGTATGGGAGGAAGGGAGGAAACAAGGACAGGTGCCAACAAATGTATTTATCAAACACTCTTGGAATAGGAAAGATACCAACTCTTCAGAGCTGTAAGCAATGAAGACACTATAAAGGAGCTAACAGTAGAAAATAACCTTATATTGAAGGTTATTGAAGACAAATGAGATGAACTGTTTAAGTTAGGCAGGAGCCCAAGCAAAGAGAGGCTAATACTGTTAAAGAGAAGCTACTGAATATCAGGGGATGTTTAAGGGTGAAGGGAGGCACCCTTGAGGAGCAGGGCCCAGCTGATAACTGCAAATTCAGCTGAAGGAATAGCTGCAAAATGGTCACCATTCTAAACATTTGTATTTCAAATAGTTGGTAAGCACATTCCCACAGCAGCACTCCAAACCTCATGGAGCCTAAATCACAACTATTCCCATTTTGTATCTTCTTCTGCCCCAAGCTCCATTTGTCTGGGTGATTTATGAGGTGAGCTCTGGCTGCACAAGGCTTCTCTCCTTCTGAATGGAGGAACAATTCAGATAAGGAACAAATCTCTTCTGAGTGAATAGAGGAAACTGGACTTAACTGCATTGACTAAGGTATTTATTGTACATCTAGGCCAGAGGAAGCTTAGCACTTTTAATACATATAAAACTGCAGAGAGCTGCTAGGAAGAGCAGAAACCAAACAAAACAGATTCACAAGTTCCTTAATTATTTAAATTAAGCCACTGAAGTAACAGGAAAGAAAGAGCAACAGATATCTATCAATTCCAGTGGCTGATTCCAGCCACCCACAGGAACGGAGGAGCAGTTGGCTCTGTGTCCCCTCAGGCACCCTCAGGCTGAGGAACAGCCAAATTGTAATCACATAACCTCCAACGGGCAGTGCTTTCATGGCTGTTGATTCCATAAATTGTCTTGAGGTTCCTTGTCATGGAAGACATTGGATATAATTACAGACAAAAAAAAATAAATAACTACAGGCCTGGTCCTGGGCAAGGTGCTTTGGCAACTCAGCAGCTCAGGGGATCATCAGCTCTTTGTAGACAGGAGCTCAATGCTAAGAGACAAACTGCAAGAAATAAATATCTGTGGTACCACTCCAACTTACCAGTTCAGAACAGACACACACAAAATTCCTGAGAGGCAATGAAACCACAGAATTAAAATTTTAAGTGCAAACCCCAACATTAAGTCATCCATTTGCAATTGTTGGTGGTGAATCCATCTACTCCAGATGGGAAGAGGTCACTCTCTTCTTTTTCCAGGGCAAGTCTATGAATAATTTGAGTGATTAAAGCTCAAATCAGGTGTGAAAATGAAAGACTGGGAATGCACGTGGAAAAGAAACCACACTCACAAAGAGAGCCTCATTCAGCTTTCATTCTGGAATCAGGAAAGGCCCTTTCCATTTCTGTCCTGCCACAAAATACAGGTGAGCTCGTACATTTTTTTCCTGAAGAGTTGTCACTTTTAAAGGCACATTGAAATCTTATTTTTACTTTTTAGGTCTCCCTTCCTCTATTGGAGATGACCTAAATTTTGAGCTGAAGCACTCACAGCATCCTCGCTTGGAATAGAAAACAACAGCAAAAAAACATCAGGCTGTGAAAAGAGGCAAAATAATAGGAGGGAAAATTACAGTGAAGTCCTCCCTGAATAAGAGGAGGTCACAAAGGCTGCAGAAATAGAAGCTGAAGTGGTGCTATCCTGAGCCAGGGGACACAAAGTGGTTGCATTTACAGCCCAGGCAGGGGACAGGTGGGCAGGATGTGAATGGAAGCAAACGGCCGCAGTTCTGGGAATACCCAACAGCTCTCAGCATCCCCTTCAAACACTGCTCGGGGAAGAAATGTCACACACACAAACTCCAAGAGCCTGCTGCTGTCACAAAAAACCCTACAGAAACCTGAGTGCTTTCTAGGACTGCTCAAATAGAACCAGACAGCTACAGAAAGGGGGAGAGGCAATATTTTATATGTTAAATAGAAAAATGTATGGGAACACATATAGAGCCCAATAGTCAGCAGTAGAGACTCCTGAACATTCATGCAGCTCATCCTTAACAAAACAAACCCCAAAATGTACTTGCAGATACATTGATTTTGTTTTATTTTATCATCTTAAACAGACAGCAGAAACTGAGATTATAATCTGTGCCTTTTTAAAATTCCATTCAACAGATGTTCATAAACAGACTTGAGCCAAATTTCAGGTCCCCAAAAGGATATTCAGCCTGAGAACTTTTACAAATGAGTGGTAAAGTCCCACTTTTCCCCTTGTAATCATTGCTTTTCTGAGACACTAAATCCTCTCTTAGCCTCATTACAAGTTCCCACCAGCATAAAATGTATTTTTCATTTCCATTTCCTATAGTATTGTTTTCCAAAAATGGCATTTCCCAGCACAAGACAACTCTCCTTCACTCCTTTTTATGTCACCTCCTCAATACCAAAGAATTGTCTCAGTGACAAGGCTCTGTTCTTCTAAAAAGATGAAAAAAATCCAAGTGGTACTAATAAATATTTACTTAATGTAAAGAAAGGGGAATTCAACACTTAAGGATGAAAATTACAGGGGAAAAAAAAGGTGTTTGGAAAGGCAAGGCTCTAAGAAGTTCAGTGCTGTTTATGAGAACGACTGCTCAATGGCTCCTTCTGGGACACAGTGAGATGACTTCTTTAAAAGTATGGTCTAGAAATACCCCCAAATCACTGAAATTATAAGTCACCCGAGTATTTCAGCTGCAATACAAAATTAAGAAATATCAGGACACATAATGAAAATGGTGGAATGAAACCAGCATTGCACTGACTTGTCTATGTTAAAAGGGGAAGGGGGGGCTGAAGTGAAAGGCTTTATTTTTACTTAATTACTCTCAGTGCTCCCTGGGGACTCCTTCCAAAGCGTATTTTGTATTTGGACCTAAATGCAAGCAGGATTCAGCCTTGATCTTATTCCTTATGACAATAGGTTTCTTAAATTAGAAGTCCCACAACTGGAATGTTGACACTACTGCTGGCTCCTCCAGCACCTCTGAGTCCCCCCTGTGCTATGAATCCATTAACCCGGGAAGCACTGAGAACAGGGGACCACAGACTGTTCAAAATTTAAAAATCCATCCACAAAACAATACTTCGTGAGCTTGCAGCATCTTTCATCCATGTATGTGGAAATGGGAAGTCTCAAAATACTTAAAAAAAAAAAAAAAGAAATCAACAAACCCACCTAACTTCAAGGTATTCTGAAATGATAACATATTAATTGAGTGAGCATCCACCTGTGATGCGATTTAAGACTCTCCTACTGCAGCATTTCACACATATTCAATCCACCTTCTGGTTACAGCGTGCAAGTTTATGTATGCTATGTAGAAGGAACAGCAGAGCTGGTTAAAGATTTTCTCTTGCTTCACATACTCTGCAAGCTTCTCATTAACTCATACATGACTTTAATCAGGGCTGAAGCACACACTTCCTTCAGCATGCAGCAGAACTGAGCTGGGGAAAAAAATCCTCCATAAAATATTATTGTAACCATGAATTAATAAAGAGAAGGGCAACGTTTTCCTAAAGTGGCTGCCGATTCTCATCTGTAAAGGGTTAAACCGACCTTCGCTGATCCAGAAGAGGTAATAAAATAGAACTTTAAGGACAAAAATGGAGCACTTCAAGAGATTATTATGAAGAGCCACATTCAAGAACACAAAACCTTATTCTTAAAGCACAGATGCTTCTGAAACAAGAGATCGCACGTTTTTAACAGCACATTGCCAACCGCTTATAATGAATAAGCAAAACGAGGGAATCAGGGTGGTTTTTTTCGTTTTTCCTTGGAGCTCAGAGGGAAGGGGCATTCATGGATGTGGTAGCAGAGCCAGCTCCGCACTTCTGCAGGGCTGTGGAGCTGGTGCTGGTCGGTGTGTGGGGGGAGAAAACAGAGTAAAACCTGAGAAAAACCCATCAGAGCTCCTGTCCTCCCCTTCCAGCGTTAATGGGAGGGATACGAGTCCATGGGAGCTGCAGTGGGGGATGGTGCTGGCGGAGGGGGTGGGGAGAACCGAGCGAGGCCTTACAACCATCAGCAGCTCTTGTTCTTGTTCCTTTCAGCCTTAGCAGGAGGATGTGAAGCTCATGGAGCCGGCAGCGGGATGGGGGGGGGAAGCAGCGCAGGATCATAGTTTAGCTTTTGTCCTTTCTCCGCAGGGTTAATAGGAGGACACGAGTGTCACCGGGATAAGGGCAGGGCCGGGGGGGCACGGCGGGGATCGCAGCTCCCCGCAGGGCTCCCGGCAGCGTGTGCTGGGATTTGTGGGGTCCTGTGCGAAGTCACAACACCCGCGGGCGAGGGGTGTGGGGGGGAACACGGGGCAAACTTCCCTCAACGTGGCGGCTCCGCTTATCCAGCACGGCGAGCCCGGGGTGCCCCGCGGGGTGGGGCGAGCCCCGGCCTTATCTGTGGGGCGCAGGGAGCGCGGCTCCGCGGCCGCGGGCAGGGAGGCAGCGAGGGAGGGAGAGCCCAGGTGCGCTGACAGAGGGAAGGGGGGCACAGGCGGCCCTGCGGCCGCTCTGAGGGCGCTCCCTGCCCGCAGCGGGAGCGCGGGGCTGAGGCGCAACCCCGGCCCCAAAACAGGGGAAAGTTTCCCCAAACTTTGGCGCGGGGGTCCCGTCCCCCCTCAGCGAACCCCTCACGGCGCCCCCCCCTCAGCGGCTGTTCCCGCCCCTGCCGCAGGGGGAGGGGGGCGCTGTTCCCGGCTCCGCGCCGCGTTTTCCCGCTCACCCCCCGCTCCCCGCGCCTCCTCACTCCTCCGCGCCTCCGGATCCCTCCGCCGCAGCCGGCGCTGGGGCTTTTTCACCTACCCCACCCCCACCGCTTCATCCCGAATATCCCGCCCGCAGCTGCGGGGAGGATGCGGGAAGGGAAACGCTTCTCCCACCCTGTTCCTGCAACGGGGTCCTGGCGTCAGGGACCGCGGGACGGAGCCTTTGCTGAGTGAGGGAGAAGAGGCGGTTGGGACTACTTGGCGTTCCTGCCACGGCCTCGGCGGAAGGAGCGCGCTTGAGCGAGAGGCTGTGCAGTACTGCGGCTCTCCTCAGCGCTTCCTGGAAACTCCCGCTTAGGAGCGAGGGGGGGCGGGAGCGAAAGAGTCCCAGGCCGGGAATGGGAGGGGGGCAGGGCACAGCCCCCTCCCCGTGCCCGGACGCCCCCCGAGCCCGCTGACACCCCTCAGGCCGACGCTTACCGCCTCTTCCTGTGCAGATGGAGTAGGGAGAAGTCAGGGATAAACTCCCTCGTAACAGCCGTGCGGGGTGGTGGGGGCTGAACCCCTTTTCCCCTCACAGCCTGGGGTCTGGAAGAGCAGACTCGCCCCTTTCCCCTCACAAACTGGGGTCTGGAAGAGCAGACTCCCCCTTTCCCCTCACAAACTGGGGTCCGGAAGAGCAGACTCCCCCTTTTCCCCTCACAAACTGGGGTCCGGAAGAGCAGACTCCCCCTTTTCCCTTCACAACCTGGGGTCTGGAAGAGCAGACTCCCACTTTCCCCCTCACAACCTGGGGTCTGGAAGAGCAGACTCGCCCCTTTCCCCTCACAAACTGGGGTCTGGAAGAGCAGACTCCCCCTTTCCCCTCACAAACTGGGGTCTGGAAGAGCAGACTCCCCCTTTCCCCTCACAACCTGGGGTCTGGAAGAGCAGACTCCCCGTTTTCCCCTCACAACCTGGGGTCTGGAAGAGCAGACTCCCCTTTTCCCCTCACAACCTGGGGTCCGGAAGAGCAGACTCGCCCCTTTCCCCTCACATCCCGGGGTGTGGAGGAAAGACCCCAATTTTTTTCCTCACAAGCTGGGAGCGTCTCTCTACCCCCAAAACTGAGGGCTGGGGAGCGGGGGAACGCAACGGGGTGGGGTGGGGGAAAAGAGCCCGGCATGGCCAGGGGACAGGGGGAAGAGATCCCCCAAAAAGAGCCCCTTTTCCCCCGAGTTCCTTGGGATGGGGGCGATCCCTGGATCCGGGGCCCTGGGAGCGGGCTGAGGTGGCGCGGGGGAGGGGAGGCCGGGCTGGTAAATGCAAAACGCTGGTACAGAAGCGTTTTAGCACAATCGGGCTGGAAAGCTCCGACTGCAACGGGCTGAGAACAAAAAAAAAAAAAAAAAAAAAAGAAAAAAAAGAAAAACGTGAAAAGGCTCCTTTGCTGCCCTCTGCCTGCCGAGGCTGCGGGGGAGCCCGGCCGCCTCCGAGGCTGGCGAAGGGCTGACATTGCCTGAGTGAAAAAGACGGAGGAATCCGGGCCAATTCACACACCTGTGGTGCTTCCACAGAATCAGTTCGGTTGGAAAAGACCTCTGAGATCACCGAGTGCAACCCTTCCTGGCTCTGGATACACTGGGTTATCCTTTTTCCCACGTGTGGACGTGCTTCTGTTCACCTCACTTTTGCACAACTTCAGTAGAGGTAAAACTCCTTCCCATTAGACTAGGCTGAAGAATATCTCAAGCCCAAGAGGCTTTTGGGGTCTGCACTTTAATACTTGAATTATTTAATGACACAATAGTACAAATGCCTAACACATGTAAGCCACAGAAAAGAAAAAAAAAAAGAAAAAAAAGTGGAAAAAACCAGGAGGGTAGAGTGAGTATGCTGATAAATGCCTGTGATACACAAACATGGGCAGTAAATACCGTGTGGTTCATTAGATACCGGCTGGGGTGATCCTGCCCTGCACTTAAAGGCCTCTCACTTCCTCTGCCTTCTCCAGATTGGTGCCTCGTACCAGCTCCTGTCCAGCTCTGCTGGTTTCCAGTTTGCCCCCCTTTAAATGTGGAGCTGTTGATCCTTTCTGGTGTTACAATGCAACTCTTTGATGCCCAAAGCCCCTTCCTCTACTGAATCCACAAGTTTCAGGGATGCTGGGACTACACAGGAAAGGCAGGGAACATGTAATGGAATTATGTGGAAGAGAAAGGTCCATTAGAACAAGGAGATACCCATAAATCCTGTTAGCAGCCAAGTATTTCCATAGAAATTTCCTGATTTTAGATGCCCAGCACCTTTCCTATCCATTTCCTTAACACCATTCCTAAATCCCTACGTGGCTTCATTTACAAACCTAAACCCCAAATGTAAATTGATGGGGGAGGATCTCTTTGAACTCCTGTGTCCTTGGGTTTTAGCTCTAAATTCCGTAGTTCAGGGTCTACTGGAAAGGGCAGCCTCCAGCTCTTGGACCAGGAATCATCTCTTGGCTTTAGACTCCTCCAGCACCGCTCAGTTAAAGATGAGCTGTGTTAAAATCTTTTAGTTATGCGCTCTTTGTGGAACTTTTATTCCTTTGCTCTTTGTACCCCAGTCAGTGCAGAACAGCTTGTAAATGCATGGATTTATTCTGTCAGCCTCACACTGCTTCCCTTAAACATCAAAATATTAAAACACAAAAGCTCCCCGATTACTCATCAGCAGATCGGTGACTTTGCACACACTCAGCTTTCTCTGGAGTAAATTAAAACAACTCCTTCAAAATTTTTGAGCTGAGGTGGATTGTTTCCAGATTCCCAGGAACTGTGAGGGACAATGTGCCCAACACCAGGATCCTCAGAGCGGCTGCAAAAGGTAAAGATACATCTTGGGTCCTGCAATTAAGTCCAAATTAATTATTCTGGATTCATTTTGCTCAGTTAATGATGTTAATTGCCTGCCTGGCAGACTGTTTAGAATTTGGAACCATTTAATGACTGCTACATAAAGATTTTGCAGTTGGGAGTGATTTTTTGATAACAGATTCAATACAAATCCTTGTCTTGCCTCCCAGTTGTGTTGGCTCCCCAGTGCCAGGTGGAAGGGCAGTGCTGCTTGGTTTGCAATTGTGCTTTAAGTGACTACTAGATCCAGGCAGTATTTATACCTGCGTTTTTAACGTTCTGGCTGACAACATTTCGTAGTTTTAAACTCATTCAAGTAACTCAATCCTAAGCAGACATTCTACTGAATCCAGAACAGCAGAATCCAGTAAAAAAGGTGTTAGTTTAATAAAGCTGGGCACATTTTAACCAGGGAAAGCTGGGTTTATGGGCCCAGAGTACTTGGGACTCGGTGCATTTGAAGCGGTATCACTGAAAGGCAGTGCAGGGGACGCTGCTTTCTGGCTTCCCAGCCTTCTGTCAGGTCTCTGGCACAGGATGAGAGAAGTTTACAGGAGTTCCCTAAATGGGAAAGGAAAGTCATTTAAACAGTATAGTTGTGAATCAGAGGCTGAGGGAGCGCTGTCATGAGAAGGGAATCCCTCTGTTAAGGAGAGAATCGCTCCTGTGCCTCTGTGCTCAAGTGGAAGCCCCAGCAACGCTGCTGCCCAGTCACAACTCCCACGTATGAGGTGGAGATTGCAGGGAGATTATCCAGCCAAAGCAAACACGCTGGAGGAGTCAGGCAGGTGCTTTTGGAGGAGGAGGGTGTTTCAAACACACTCCTCAGCCCTCCACATGACCTGTCTGGCATCCAGCAAGGCTGAGTTAGTCCTAAGGCCAAAGGAGTAAAATGCAGGTAGAAGATAGAGGTGTCTCCTCTCCATGGCTGCCACAGAGAGAGAGCACAAGATAGCAATGAAATTTCCAAGGCATCATGCTCATTTTTCATCAAACACCCATTAGTAAAATTGTTTTCTTTGCTTTTGACAAATCAGTTCAAGCCCACACACATCCTGCAGGATACATTACACTGGGGGCTTGAGCCTCTTTCATTTCCCAAACAGCTCTGTCACCCTGTTAGTGATCGTCTACCAAAGCACTCCATTGCACATCCCTCATGACACAATAATTCCTAATATTTATACCCTTTGTAATGAATGGAAGATGCATTGATGTAGAAGCCAGATACAGCATAAATATCAACAGAAGTGGCTGAACTTGATTCACATTTTCTGGTGCTGTGCCCTCTTACAAATCTTTTTGCTGTTGTCCTGGCCTCAACAGATTTAGAATGGTATTTCAAAGACCACTGATGACACCATTCAGTAGCTGGCAAGACAAAGAATTCATGGATGGAGCTAATAAGGGAGATAAAAGCAGTCTGTGCCCCAAACCCAACATTTTCACAGTGCACGTGGGCTGGTTTTGTGAGCCAGATGCAGAGAGCTCCAGGGATGCTACGCCGCAATCCTACAACCCTAATTCTTGCGCATTTAAGGCTGTATCTGATTAGGCATTTCTGTATTTTCTGAGTATGTAATTATCTAGCACAGTACGTGCGAGTCATGGAGTAAACCCAGTTGGGAGTGGAGCACTGGGAAGGGGAGAAAAGGTCTGTACGTGGGTGAGTGGGTTTGTCCATGTCGGTGATTGCAGCAGCCTGGGAATACAGTGTGGAAAAAAGTCTTTCCTGGAAAGAAACTGAGGTGAAATCCCCTCACTGTGCTGTGAGCAGTTAGCACTTCCCTGTAGACCACCAATGAGGTGATAAC